TGTCACTTACAGTCTCCCTTTGCTGTCATCCTTCTAATTCCAATCCTTGGCCTTTGCCCTAAGTTGGATTCCCGGGCCCCTAGATCTGAGGTCTTTTCTCTGTGGATTTTCTTGTCTTTCTTGTACAGCACTTCTCTAGCAGCTATGTCAAGTTTTGAAAAACTGAGTGCAATGGCAGAGGACTTGGTGACACAAGCGTTCCATCTCTGTGACAAACCCAGTCTTGTCTGGTCACCTATTGTACCTGGGGAATCTGAATCACCGCAAGACCTATTTTTTAAACAAAATAGATGAGCTCTTGATGTTCATGATCTTTATGATTCAGTGTGTATGTATTTCTGACCTTTTCTATAGGTATTTAAACTACACTTTCATCTGAACATTCCCTCATACCTTGCTCATTTTCTATGTGGCTATCTCCACTGTGTTCATCTTTAACCACTACTGACTTTTCTCACTTTGGCTTCACCTGAGTCTGATTTCCTGTATGACAAGTCCTTAAACAATGTAATTTTATTTAGCATTTTTCATTATAACACAGATGAGAAAAAATCAGAAACAATGTTGTAGTGTACATAATTATAAGTTTTACTCAAGCTGCATTTCCAAGAGCCTCTCTACAATGTTAACGGAGGACTCACTGTACTTAGGGTTAGTACATTTCACGGCCTATCACATTTACAATTTATATAAACATGCCCTGTACCTTCACAGAAACCTGCACACACTCTAGCATAGCAGTTAAAAATCTAGTTATTTTGCATTTCTTTATTTTGTAAGCCTCATAATGAAATAAATGGCCTTGGCTTTTAGTGCTTGACTTCCCAATGCAGTGTAAATAACTTAATGTTAAATGATCTGTGCTATTGCTATTTCTAATTTTTTCTGTAAGAATCTGATGAAAAAAATTAAACACATTTTAAGTAGTGTTAAGGTTTGGATGATATTTTTATTTCAAAGAAAGTTTTCGTTGTTTCATTGGAGAGGGTTTGTTTGCTGCTGTTCTGTTTTTTGTTTTGAGAGCACATGGTTTTACAACACAGTGTATGATTGAGAGGTCTAGATGCACATCTTTCAGGTATATGTTACCACACCACACCACACCCACCACCAAGGTGTCCTCCATCACAGTCCATTGTGCCCCCTCCCACTGTGGCTCCTCCCCTCCATTTTCCTCCACTGGTAGACTTCATTATACAATCAGATTTCTAGGGTTTATTGTTTTGTTTTGTCCGATCTTTCATTTTTTTTCTCAATATACCACATGTCAGTGAACCCATCTAATATTTTGCCATCCAAAATGGCAAGAGTTTATCTCTTTTATAAATATTTAGTATTCCATTATACATTTATACAGCATGTTCCTAAATCTACTTATCTGTCTTTGGGTATTTAGGTTGTTTCCATTAACTTGGCTATTGCAAATAATGCTACAATGAACATAGGAGTGCATGTATTGCCTTTAAATTAGTATTTATGCATCTTTTGGACAGATACCTAGGAGTGGAATTGCTGGATCATATCATAAATCTATTTTTAATATTTTGAGGAATTCCCGTGCTTTATTCCACAGGGACTAGAACAGCCTGCATTCCCAACAGTGTAATTAATAGAGAAACTTTTTCTTCACACCCTTGCCAGTACTTGTTGCTTCTGGCCTTTTGGAGTCACACCATTCTTACATTCTAGTTTTGATTTGCATTCCCCTCAGGATAAGTGATGATGAGCATTTTTTCATGTGTCTGTTGCCCATCTGCTTATCTTCTTTGAACAAGTAGCTTTTTAACTCTCCTACCCAGTTTGTGATGGGCTTTTTGTTTCCTTTGGTTGAGTTATACATTCTTTGTAAATCTTGGAGAATAGCCCTTTGTTGAATATGTGATGGGCAAATATTTTCTCACATTCAGTATGGTGTCTTTTGGTTTTAGTTACAGTTTCTTTGCTCTGTGCAAAAGATTTTATAGTTTAATATGACCCCAGTTATTTAAATTCTTCTTTGCTTCTTTACTGTTGTTGGTGAATCCACAAAGATATCTCTAAAGTCTATGTCATGGAGTGTTTTGCCTATGTTTTTTTCTATGTATTTTATTAGCCTCACTCGTTTTGTTTGTTTGTTTGTTTTGTTTTTAAAGATTTATTTATTTGTACATACAGAACTGGGGTACAGGTCAGAGGCTCAGGGGCGGTGAGAGGCTTCACCAGAGACAGAGTGGGGAGCAGAACAGGCAGATCTACAAAGTACACTGCTGAGGGGAGCAGCGGGAGGGTCAGGAGAGGTCTGCCACACCATGTGGTCACCTCCCAGGCAGGCAGGAATCGAACTCATGTGGAAGTGGCTTTAGCTTCTCAGTGCAGTGCTTTAACCCACTGCGCCACCAGGGAGGGCCAGCCTCACTCGTTTTAATGTCAAGCTAAGACACATAGAAGGAATCTTGTAGAATAAAATTTAAATAGATCTGCTAGATTCAGCAAAACCATACACATAAATTTCAGATAAATAGTGAATAATTTTTAGTGTATGTTATCATGAGAATCCTGTGTTTTTTCCAGTGATCTCATATTTAATCATTCAAGTGTTTTATGGGTGAAATAACTTGGTTAGCTTTATTGTGAACATTAATGATTAATATTAAGGTGCCATAGAGGAAAAAAGTTAGAAATTCATTTTTATTGGTTGGCAATATAGTGCGATATTGTTTTAATTTAGCCAAAGTCTATATAGTAAGAAATACATGAGTAATGAGATTCTGACCCAGAAGCACATCAATAATTGTGCTTCTTCCCCAACATTAATCATCTGGAAGAGCACAGAGCTCATATGATAGGAACATGGGTTCAAATACATTTCTCCATGACAAAAAAGTCAAATCACATCTGTCATAGCACTTGAAGTCTTTCAATTTACTCACCCCAGATCTTTCTGTAAAGTCTTAGTCCACTCAGGCTACTATAACAAAATGTTATAGCATAGGTGGCTAAAACAATAAAAATGTATTTCTCATCGTTCTGGATACTGGTAAGTCTCAGGTCAAATCATCAAGGGCCCTTTTCCTGGTTGGCAAACAGATGCATTCTTGTATCCTCATAGGACAAAGAGAGAGATCGTTTCTCTCATGTCCCTTTCTATAAAGTCACTAATTCTGCTCATGAGGATTCCATCCTCATGAACTCCTGGCCTCCCAGCGACCCTACCTCCACATGTTGTCACATTAGACATTAGGGCTTCTGTGTAAGAATTTGAGAAGGATGCAAATATTCAGCCTATCACAGTGGAGATTGAATATAGCCACATGTGTGTATCCAGCATAATCTTGAATGTTAGCAAACATTATTTCTGATAGTTGAATGAATTATGAGTAAACACACCTAGGCACCCTCTCCAGATGAGGGAAAAGAGGGTGCTTCTCTGAAGTACCAGGAGGCCAGTTTTATTTTAAGAAACTAATAAAACTAATATGATTCCACCTTTCAAAGCTGTTTATCACTTGGAGTTTCAGTTTGGTGATTGCGCTCTAGTAAATTAGCTCACCGAGAGTCCAAAGATTATATCTGTCTCCAGACAGTCCATTCATCATGCTTAGCATTTGTATTTCAACACAGCTTTCCCACGTATTTGCCAAAATGCCACTGAAGTAATCACAGAAAGCTCCCTGTTTTGATCTACCTAATGCCTTAAATATTGTCAGTGACTCTGGATTTAGGTTTATTGGAATATTTTAATAACCCACCAATCTCTTTATCTGAAAGTTTCATATAACCACTTTCTTAGTTCATAACTATTTATTGATTTCAATTTTGTACCAAAAAAGGAGTGGACTTCAATAGCTCAATATGTACTTACCACAAAAATCAAAGCAATGTGATAATAGAAATTATCAAGGTATAATCATGTAAAAGTGACAAAACGTTTAAATTTCATCAAACATTTAGCAAGTTGCATGATCAATATAAAGTTCAAATTACCTGTGTCCCCTTTATTCTTTAAACATTGTTTTGCAAATTGGTAAGATAGTCTGTCACATTATCCAATTTTGGAAAGGCATAGTTTAAGCTGTAAGTGGTGAAACTACCAAAATGTGATAACTGGGATCACAAAAAATTATAATTACATAAAAGGCTGGCGTGCATAATGGGAGAGGAATAAAATTTCTGGGTCACAATTCTGAACTAATTTTCTGGGAGTTCCAGGTTGAAGCATATGGGATCCAAACCTATTTCAATGTCATCTGTGGCTTGGCCCAACTGTGACCAGGTCAGTTTTTACCACCTGATAACAGGTGTATTGAGTTTTGTTCTGTGGTAATTCCAGAATTTCAAGGACATTAGGTATAATGTGGATAAATAGCCTGATGAAAGTGTTCTTCATGTTCTTTTAGTATCATCTCTCCAGAAGTATTTAACCCAGGGTAGATAGATACAGAAATCCATCTTCTCTTTTACTATGCCTACTCTTTCTTTACCAATTTCTTTTTTTTTTTAAGTGCAACATTAAAATAATCAATGCAAAAAAATATTTTTTGTATATATAAAACTTTGTTGTTTTTTTAATGCCTCTATTCTTTGGCAAAATGATAGGACAAAAATCAGTTGATCTCAGGAGTTGACTCCTCAGGCAGTATTTGAACTCCACCTGCTATAGCCCTGTCTTCTCAGAAAGTGTACCTTTCTTAGTGACTGATCAAAGTGCCATAAACATAATGTTCATTTAACCAGACAATACCAGTCCTATGACTAACCTTTCTGATTGATGACTTTTTTGCCATCAGTTAGTCAACTCCAGAAATGTCACATTCATCTACATCTACAGAAGACAGCAGGTTAAGTACAGGGAGTCAAGATTTAGATGTGCTGGATCTACCTAATTCTCATGTCTCCTATGAGATTCCAGCAGTCAGTGGATATAATTCCACTTTCTGGAAGAATATCACTCCTGTCCCCACTGCACAATACATCACTACTAGCTGACAAGGGTCAAGAAACAGTGGTGTTCTTCAGTCTAGCATGTCCTTCTCCAACAACTTGTTCAACAAGAGCTCTCTAGAGTACCAAGATCTGGAGCAATGATTCACACAGCTGGTGCATGGGCACTATTTACAATTCATTGTGTGTCTCTTGTTTTTCATTGTTATTTTCTAATAAAGTCACTGGGTATCTGAAGCAATGCAGATCAAAAGAAAGAACTATTGCTGAAGGCATTCATCTAGAGTGTTGAGATGGTTCAGATCCAATAGCTAAGTGAATTCAATGCTGGACTCAAAAGGCAGATTCTGAGAACAAACTTCCTTTATATCTTTTTATTATAATTTTCCCTAATCTAGTTTTTTCCAATAATAACACATAGTCACTTAAGTGCTGAACTTAGAATTTAAAAGAAATATATGAAGCTTTTCCTAAATTATATTGCCCCAGGCTATTTCCCAATTATCTGAAAAAATAATTCAACTAGAATAGTCCAGCACAGATAGTCTGAGAATTCAAGTTGTAAAGACACTTTTTATTCAAAGCTAAATGGCTTATCACTGATCACTAACAAAATAAGCAGGTGATGGCATATATTTTTGATAATAAAACATTCCCAAAACTCACAGGTGGTATGTTTCTCTATGTACAAAAGGAAATTAGCGTACAATACCAAACTATGAGATACATCTAGATAGTCATGAGCAGCTAAAGTTAAGTACACAATGCATGTCACATCGATTGCAGAATTTCTGAAAATAACAAAAATAATTTGTAAGCCTCATGAGTTTAATCATTGTGTAGATTAAAATCACATAAAAGCCAATTTTAAGTGAACTTTAAAGGAATCCTCTGTGTAATTTCCCCACCTTCATAATAAGATGAGTAAATACTGGGACACAGTTACTCCACAGTTACCCCACAGAGTCCTAGGGCACCTGGTTAGGCATATGAATTAGGGTGCATGCTGGCTGCCATGAAGAAAAGATCAAGGCTATATTAATTGAAATGTGACACAAGTTTATTTCTCTTTCACTTGGTGGATGCCACAGTTCTGTTGACAATGTCATCCAGGGACCAACATTTCGTTCATTTTAAAACTCTGCCAACTGCAACAGTGTTTGTTCATGCACACAGTTAAAACTGGGTTACTGGTCCATCATGTTTCCACTTGTGATAAGGAGAGAGAGAGGACCCAGAGCAAACCATTTCCTAAAGGGTAGAAAGTTACCACTTCTCTTCCATTCCATTTGTGGGACCTAATCACATAGCCTCTTGCAAGGGAGGCTGGGAAGTATGGTCTCTAGGCAGCCTTTTTCCCATGAAAAAGAGGAGAATGGATTTGGAAACAGTTGTCAGCACTTTAAGGGAAAACTAGGAATTTCCACCATAGGTCAAAGCAATGCTAAAACACAAAGAGCGAGCCCCATTAAGTAGAATGATTCCATTTCCAGGAGAAATCAATTTAGAATAAGAAGTTCTACACTTTGTATAAAATAACATTTTATTTTCATAATTAGGTTGGGAAAAGAGTCAGAATGTAGAAGAGGGTCAAGTCAAAATTCTGCTGCAGAGGGACCAAAGACAAATCAGATCAAGGTCAAGCCTGCTGTGCAGGCCATCGCAACCTGTGTGTGTTGCTCTCTGGGTGCAGAGGTTGGGGTGTGGATGAGGGATCACTTTCAGGGCCAAGAACAAGGCAAGTATCATAGAGTTCCAAATATTTTGAAAAAAAATCTCTCAAGAATGACTGTGGCTGAGAGACAGGTGTAGGAACCTCAAGCCCTGCTTCTCTGGGGCATACTTTTGATATTAAGAAATTAGTTTGGAAAACATTTTTTTTAAAGATGTATTTATTTATTCATACAGAGCTGAGGTACAGGCCAGAGTTGCAAGGAGTGAGAATATTCACCAGAGACAGAGTACACTGCTGAGGGGAGCAGCGGGAGGGTCAAGAGAGGTCTGCCATGCCATGTGCCACGCCCCTCGAGGGCGGGGATCGAACTCACACGGAAGGGGTAGCTGCTTGTTTGCAGGGTTGCATCCTAACCTGTTGGCGCCTCCGGGGAAGGCCCTGGAAAGCATTCTTAAGGAAATCCTTTTTCTTCTCCCTCACCATTTCAGGTAAGGGCACTGTGGTCCAGTGCAGTGGTTAAGTAGCTTGATGAAGGTCACACAGCTAGTTAGGAACCGTTCCAGAACTGACACCTGTCTCCTGATTGCCTGGTGCCTGCTCTTTCCACTGCACTGCATTTGCTTCACCCATGAAACTAACAGACAAGCTGATGTTTAAGCTGTTGTTGATTTTAAATTGATGGGCTTCAAACAGATGTTCCATTTACATGCAGGTAGGTCAGTCTGCTCCTGGGCCCAGCTCAAACCTTGTTTTTATTTACCTGAATTTCATTTCAATAACTGAATTTGGCACTCCTGCTTTGCTGATAGTTTTGGCCTGGAATTTTTTTTTTTAATCCTCTGTCCTCATAATTCATCATGAAGAAAATCACTGCCTATTTATCTTAATACACAGATAGAAAGGTGGAAGTGTGGGCAATAATTACTGCAAATAAATCATTAAATAGTGGTGTCTGGGTTCAGTATAAATCCAAACACAAAAACAAAAATAATAAAAAAGGAACTGTAATTTATGCTTCAGATAATGAAAAGGGAGTCTAAACAGAATTAGCAGCAGCTGAGCACTTAGAACACAGTTAAGAGAAAACCATTTTTTTTATTTTGCAGCTGGTCCCATATCTACAATCCAATCTTACAGGATTTAAGCAACTGGAAATACTTAGCTTCAGAAATGGGAGTGTGACCATGAATAGCAAAGTGAGGTTTGCTAGGTGTGTGCCATGTAACCTCACCAAAGCTGTTCATGGTGTCTTGGAAGATTTTTGTACGGTGGCAGTCCAACAATTTGATCTAGAAATTGACAGCTACTCTCTTAACATTGAACCAGGTTTAAAAAATATCCAAATGGAAAGCTGGTAATTTTGGTTTCTGTTGGAGTATGCAGTTCAATTCTGAGATCACAAAAATCAAATTAAAATTACATAAAATAAAAGGTCTCTGTCATCTTATTATAAAAGTAGAATCTTAAGATATGCCATTTAAGGCCTTCCTACATTAAAAAACAAACTCTTTTCTTCACAATCTGAGAACTTTAATTTCCACTCAAAACAAAACTTTTGCTGACTTTAAGAAGTTTGTTTTTGTTTTTTTATGTAGCCCACAGCCAAGCTAATTTCCCTTCTATTAGAAATCAAAAGCATTTTCTTTTGCAGTGAACTGCAACAAACCAGGGGTTCCTACCTCTGAGGACTTCCAATCCCAGCGAACTATCAGAATCACATCTTCAGGACACAATTCTGGATAACACTGAGACAGCATCCTAAGGAGAGAAAAATAACCGTTAGACCAAGATTCAAGCAAATAAAAAAGCTATTTCACCATCCTCACAAAAAAAAAGAAAAAAAAATGTGCTTCACATTTGTACATCCTAGATCAGCTACCATGTGCAGATTAAAACAAACAAAAGTTAGATGTGAAATAAACACTTAAACATATGTGGGCTTAACCCACTGCTACAGAACAGAAAGCGAACACTTGTTCTGATAATAAAGCATAGTGTATGTGCCATTCTACCAGCTATGCTCAAATTAGAATGTTTTCCACCATTAGCTTCAAAATTCTGTTTTCTAACCGGTTGAAGTAAGTCTTTCAATTCCCTGGAGTGCAAGGGTGGGAGGAGGCTCCAAATTCACTCCCAATACCACCTTCTGGCAGGTTCAAACAAAGCTTCTTAATTGGTTATGAATTAGTGAAGTGAATCTTTACCATCCTCTCTGGCTTTCTGTGGACTAACAATGAAGGCTGAGGGAAAAAGGCCTTGGGCAAAATGCAAGCAAAAAGGCTCAGTTGGGAGACATTTATCTTTGACAGAGCAGAACTTTGAACAACTTTAAGAAAATTGCCTCCTACCTTAGTAAACAGGATCTTTAAAAAGACAGAGCACCCTCCGGCACTGAGCCTGTGTGTTTCCCTCTGAAGAGGACCACTAAGTAAACCCTCTGGACTCCCTACAACATCAAGGACCTCCTAAGTGCTCGTAAACTCTTGAACACTAGGAGACCTGATTTGAGAAGGAAGGAGGAAGTCACTGCCAGTTAAGTGACCAAGTGCTTCAATCTATTGAATAGGATGTAGGGAGAAACTGGAAATCATAATGGAGGTGTTTTTCGAAACCCCTCTCCTCCTTCCTCCCTTGGAAGCTGAAGTTGTATTTAGAGACCCATCCTACTATATAAACTATATAAAAACTCAATGTAAGTACCTTAAATAGAAGGCAGAAGCCATAGCACATTGCCTGGATGTATGAGGAAGCCGGGGAATTTGGAAGGAAACATCTAGGATGTTTCACGAATGTGAACCTGTTACAGGGCAACCCAATGTGAACTGGGTTGCTTGTCTCCTCACCCATGCACTTAAAATTCAGTTGTACTGCAGGCACACACAAAAGCGTCAATAATTTTTTTTTTTTTTTTTTTTTTCAAATTTTGCAAAATAAGTTTTAGAATTTTGCTCAGAGAAAATAATAAGAACAACTAGCGAATGTGAACCTGTTACAGGGCAACCCAATGTGAACTGGGTTGCTTGTCTCCTCACCCATGCACTTAAAATTCAGTTGTACTGCAGGCACACAC